GKKKTTWWKRAAAAAATCTCTGCATAGAGCAGATTTATTAGCCAGAGGAGTAAGTGAGATTAGGGGGGTCCGAAGAATCCAGTCCCCAAAACCAGCGCAGCCATAGTTCAGAATATTGATGGAACTGTTCATTCTGTGTGGCCCTCAGCCTGCTCAGGAACCAGATCACACAGGTGTGAGAGGAGGGGTGGAGGTATGGGGCAGAGCATTATTGACATGATCCAGTCAGGAAGAATTTAGTCAACAGCTCAAGGCCGTTGTAGGGGAGAGCCAGATTCTGTAATCAGTTGTTTTGGGAACAGAAAGTGTCAGGCAGACGATGACAATTTACACATGGCAGCAACTCAATGCATTTAGGCATGTAGACATTGCCAAGATGATCAGTTTCAGGACAGTCAAAGGCAAGTGGCTGGTGGAAAACAGACAGAGACAACTTRTACAAAAGATAAGTGCTTTTATTTACAGGTGGCAGGTTGGGTCCATCTGTACGAGAGGAAGGTGGGCTGGTTATTGCAGGTAAGTTTATCAGGTGTTCGGCGCAGAGAGGAGAGACTTGGATCCAGGAGGTAAGTAGGTGAGTTTACAGGTAGGGTGGCAGACAGACAGGAGGACCAGGCAGGTGAGTATCCTTCCATGAGAGAGCGAGGCAGACGGGGAGGTGACAGGTAAGTAGAGTTCACAGGTAAGCAGTGATCCCTGGCTTTATACAGTACTCCAATAGATTTAGATATTTTGGTTCTTAAATAATGTGTGTCAGGTCTCCATGTCAGCTTGTCATAAAGGATGACACCCAGAAAGTTCACCTCATTGACTTCACAGATCTCAATGAAAAACCTACAGTTGTCTTCCTGTTACTAAATATCATGTAATTTGTTTTATCCAAATTTAATGATAATTTGTTTTGTTGAAACCAATTTTGTATTTCCTCAAATTCTTTCTGTGCCATTTCAAACATTATTTCTATATCTTTACCCAAACAAAAAATGTTGTATTGTCAGCAAATAAAACTCATTTGAAAAGTCCTGATACATTTACTAAGTCATTCACATATAAAATAAATAACTTAGGTCCCAGTACAGAGCCTTGAGGGACTCCACATGTTACCAAGTTTAGATCTTACACCATTTATCTGTACAAACTGTTTCCTATCTTTCAAATAACTAGATAACCATTTTAGTGCCGACCCTCTAATACCATATTTACTTAATTTTTCAAGAGGAATACTGTGATAAATTGTGTCAAATGCTTTCTTTAAATCTACATAAATACTCACACAATACTGTTTTTGATCAATAGCAGTTGTTATTTGCACCATGAATTCCATAAGAGCCATWGATGTGGAATTTTTAGCTCTAGACCCATACTGACTATTACATAAAACATTGTGCTTTTCGATAAATTGATCCAATCTGGTGACAAATAATTTCTCTAAAATTTTAGAAAACTCTGGTAGCAATGATATTGGTCTGTAATTTCCAAACACGTTTCTCACCATTTTTAAAAAGAGGAATTACCTTGACTGTTTTCATATTGTCAGGAAATATACCAGTTTAAAATGATAAATTACAGATATGTGTAAACGGTTCAATCACATAATTCATTATTTCTTTTACAAGCGTCATGTCCATGTCCATCCAGTCTTTTGATTTTTTTTCAGCAAGATTTTTTACCAAACTCAATATTTCTTCTTTGTCAGTTTCAACGAGAAAAATACTGTTGGTACAATCTGTAACTGTGTGACTCACAATTTTATCTACTTTTGGTATTTTTGCTGCAAGAATTGGGCCAACATTTATAAAATAATTATTAAATCCATCTACAATTTCATTCTGGTTGCGAATTTCATTACCATCCTTTACAAATTACTGTGGAATACCTGCTTTTACGTCATGATTTTTCAAAACACAATTAATTCATTATATACTGTGAAATTAAAAAATCTAAGATGATGGGGTGGAATGTTTTTTCTGTCCTATCCTTGTTATTTCTGAAACAGCAGCAGCTGCTTTGATACTTAAAATTCTGATAAAATCTTGCATGTTAGCCTTATTTCAATACCAAGTTTATTTAAGTAGTTTGTAAATACCAAGACACAATTACATTTTAGCATATTATGTTGAGCACAAACATCAAGGAAAACCCTTGGGGCTAAAGAGGTGGGTGTGTCCTGTAATCAGAATTACAGCTGTCTTCAATATTGTAATGAGTTACCCTGCCTATGTTAAGGCCCTGTCACTATAACGTTTTAGACAACTTATAACTTTTGAAAGGTCTGTCCAACACTAAAGATGGCCAAGCTGAAAATGGAACAAAWWAAGTACTGGAGTGAGTACTGGAAGCCTCTTTTGAGTCAGTGCATAATGTAATGCTAACTTTTAGATTGAATATACAGGTCCTTCTAAAAAAAATAAGCATATTGTGACAAAGTTCATTATTTTCTGTAATGTACTGATAAACATTAAACTTTCATATATTTTAGATTCATTRCACACCAACTGAAGTAGTTCAAGCCTTTTATTGTTTTAATATTGATGATTATGGCAAAAAAGTAAAGAAAAACTAAAACTCCCTATCTCAAAAAATTAGCATATTTCATCCGACCAATAAAAGAAAAGTGTTTTTAATACAAAAAAAGTCAACCTTCAAATAATTAT